CTACACCAGCCAGGGATAATTCTTATGACATTTCCTAAATTCCCCATCTCATTCTTTCCTGAAGACCACTTTGCCTGATATTTTACAAGTTGTCCTCAGTTATTAAGTGTTCTGCATTAAGTCCAAGGCAATTCCCAGTGCTGTGATCCAAGCAATTTTCTTAATTCTCACCCTTGCTTTTCATCCCAGAACTCCTTGATTTGCTGTGTAGTCTCTGTTCCAGATATGGCAGTTGGACTTGACAACAGATTTCTGCCTCCCAATTTTTGTCCCTCGACACAAAACTACCTCCAGGATTTGAACTAAACCTGGAATGTCCTACTCTTGAGATGTTCCAGGACTCAACTCCTGGACTACTTCTATTTCTACTCACTCCCTTGGTGATCTCCTCTAATAGTATGGCTTTAAATATACCATCTACATGCTGATGACTCCCAATTTTATTCTGCCAGCTTATACCCCTCCCCTGAAACTCTAGACTTGTATATTTAACTCCATCTCATTTTGGATTTTATCATCTAAAACTCAACACAGCTGTGTGGCTCACTTGGTTGGAGCATCATCCCATGCACCAGGCTGTGGGTTTGCTATCTGGTCAGGGAACATGAGTAGGTTGTGGGTTCAGTCCCTACTCAGGGTGTGTATGGGAGGCCACCAATCATTTTCTCTCTCCCATTGATGTTTCTCTCTCTCAAATCAATAAACATATCCTTCAGTGAAAATTGAAAAAAAAACTTACTGTGTTCAAAATCAACTCTCTACCCTTTTGGTAGAGATGGACAGTTATTATCTGGATTGTGGTAATACTCGAATGGGTGCATGTCTATGGAGAAACTTAACAAAATGTACACACTTAATAATGTACAATTTATGCCCTGGCTGGTGTGGCTAAATGGATTGAGCATCAGCCTGTGAACCAAAATGTTGCTGGTTCCATTCATAGCCACAGCACATGCCTCGATTGCTGGCCAAGGCCCCAGTTGGGGGCATGCGAGAGGCAATCGATTGATGTAGCTCTCACACATTAATATTTGTCACCCTCTCTCCCCTTTGTCTAAAAGTAAAATCTCCAAAAAGATTTTTAAAATGTACAATTTATTGTATTCTCACTTATTTTCAGGACATATTAGGCTCAAATATATCCTAACCAGGAGTGGCAAGGGCACATTCTTCCCTAATCTCAGTAAAGTGATGTACTGCATTTGTAAATGTTATTTTCTTCAAATTTCTGGAACACTTTTTCATTGTTAATTCTCTATAGAGAAGAACCAGAATCAAGTGAGAAGCATAAATAAATTTCCAAATAGGGTGAATTATACTGTAGTCCATTTGGAATTCTGTGAAATCAGATCCTTATTTCCTGTTCTAACTCAGCCACATGGTATGCCAGGACCTCAATAGTGGACAAATGGTAAGGGGGAGTGGGAGGCCAGAACTTGATAATGAGACCACGGAGTCTGGTTCTCAAATCGAAACCAAGATGGTCCATAAAATTTCATAAACTTTATGGCAAACTTCTGTTTTGATATTATCTCTCCAAATACATAAAATCAGTGAGGTGGACAAGGCCAGAGGCAGTGACAATATTCAGGGAGACAATTTCAAGTACTGGGTTGGCCAAAAAGTCTGTATGGTTTTTTACATAATATAAAAGCCATATTTTTCATTTTCACCAATAACTTGATTAATTTGGATATTTTGAGTATGTTGGCTATCTTCCGCATGGTATAATGTTGATTGTTCTCAACTAATGTCTCAATTTAATCCCTATCAGCCTCACCTGGTCTATCCAAATGTGGAGCACTGTCTGGTGAAAATTATCAAGCATGAAACTCACAAGCCACTTTTGACATGTTCAGTCACAGCGCCTTCTCCACACACTGCACAAACCACATTTTTGCACTTCAGCTGAATTTTTACCCCTTGAAATAATAAAGCATAAATGCCCTATGTTGTGTATTTTTAATACTAGGATGGCAACACAAAAATTCACAAATTTTGATGTTTTTTCTTAAGTGCACACTGATATGACAGTTGTCACAGTACAATCTTAACAAAATTGTTTTGAATGAAGCTAAAGACAACTAAATGCTACTAGAACTATCTTATGAGAAAAAAATTTTGGGGGGGCTAACCCAATACTATACTTTATTTTTAAAAAACTTTATTTTTAGAGAGCTGGGAAGGGAGGGTGAAAGAGAGGGAGAGGAACATTGATATGTGAGAGATACATCAACAGGTTGCCTCTAACTCATCCCCTACCAGGGACCTGGCCCATAACTCAGGCATGTGCCCTGACTGGGAATCAAACCAGCAACGTTTTGGTTTGCAGGCTGGTGCTCAACCTGCTGAGTGACACCACCGAGGGCCTAATATAATTTAAGTAGTTGTATTTTGACCTAAAAATAAACTTGCGAGAGGAAAAAGGAAGAAGGACTGGCAAAGGATAAGCAGACTATCTTAGTAGCATGGGATTCAAAAAGGATTTAACTGGGAAACTGCTATAAGAACCATGAAAACAGCCAAGAGCTCTTTCACACATGTTGGGCAAACAAAGGATCAAAAAGCACCTACTTAGTTTAGAGGGCACTTGATTGGGAAGCCAAGTGCAGTAGGATATTGGGTTTCTTGCAATGGAACTAATTTTAGAAAGCACCAAATGGTAGGTCTGAGCCAAATGAACTTTTAAGATAACCTGGAAGCATGGTGTCAGGCAGAGAAAAGAATTCCTATTGGCTAGTCACTAAATCCAGACATGTAGATTCTGCTTTCCATCTCTAAAACTAGTCCTAACTAAGCCCACCTGTCTATCCTAGTCCCTTAGGTCTTTAGGGCTTTTGAGTCTCCACTGATTTCACTATTAAGATGCAAATACATTGTGGAACGTTAAAGCCTCCATCCGGCTAACTTAATGTCCCTGGTCTTAACTTAGTCTGTTTTATTACCCAGCATTCATAAACCAGAAAGCTAGGACTCTAACAGAAAGAATTCTACTATGTGAAATGATAAGTAGAGACACTCATCCAGGTGTCTACTAAAAGGTTTAAAGCAAGTAGTAAGTTTAGTTGAATCTGGTACATGTTGAATTTTTATTTAATTCCACTAAAATGGTACCTTTTTGCATCCAACCCATTTCTTGTCCAGGTGTGGACCCTGTTGTCAAGAACATGACAACTGCACCTTCCACTGAAAACATGTCTTAGTGAACTCAAATGACTATAGCATTTACATAGCTCTAACTCCTTGTCCCAAAACATTAATAAGGTACTTTTCTAACATTTCAGCCTTACCTTCGCTTACTTGGTCTCTCAGGTTCTGGAGCAAATCTTCACCATTTCTTATGCCCAAATCTATCTTCCTCACATTGGATTTGGTTGAGTTACAAATTCACTTGTTCAATATTCAGAGACATTTTAATTATTCCTCTCTCCCACAGTACTTTGTATTTCTATAGTCTGCTTTCTTACTCTCCTTGGCATTTTATACTACTGACATATAGAAGACACAGGAAATATTTTGCATCTGATTTCTGGCAGAACCTCCTACAGTACAATAAAGTGCATATTACCAGTTTGATTTGCATTATATCAACTAAGGAAATGTGACATTAAAAGAATGCTTGGGAGGAAAAGGAGCAAAACCAGAACTGCAGGAAAAGGACAGAGGGATCATTTTGTCTATTTCACAACTTTGCCCTGTTTTGAAGTTGTTTGCCAGCTCCGACAAAGGATAGTTTTGTGTTTTGTGCAAGACCCCAATTAGTCTTTTATTATTCATTGTTCCTCTTAAAACTTACTATACAACCAAGTACCAGGTAGTTAAGTCAAGTCAGTGAACAAAATATATCTTACAAAGTATGTTAAAAATTTCCAAATGGACCAGGACAAGGGAGATTCAAGGATGCAGATTGTAGCCCTGGCTAGATAGCTTAGTTGGTTCGAGTATGGTCCTGATATAGGGTTGCAGGTTTGATTGCCAGTAAGGAATACGTAAGAAGCAACCACTGAATGTGTAAGTGGAACAACAAACCAATGTCTCTCAAAATCAATTTTAAAAAAAATTAAAGGATTCAGATTGCAATGTCAAACAGTTTACTGATATTTATATACGTGTAACAGAAGAAATTAATAAGGTTAACAACACAATGTTACTTGTTTGTTGATCTTATAGCATCAGAGGAAATATAGGAGCTGTAATAGCCAAGATTGTCAGTTGCTGCATTTTATATACATTACCTCATTGCATCTTTTACCTGAAGGTGCATTTTACCTCTAAGGTGCCAGTTTCCCTCATTTCTTTTGGTAATACCAAGATACAATATGTGTAACACACCACACCAATCAATTGTTCTCACTGGAACAAGCCTCAAGGTCCCTTAATTTCCCACAACCATAGGCACTGTGGAATTCCTTGTACCTAGTTTAATATCGTACAGCTATCCCACTGAGCCCTTTAATGTTTACTAATATCAGTACTTTGTATTTTAATATGGGTTCAAGAAACATTTTCAGAGATCCATTGTATACATTGTCTTACTACTTGGGGCAAATCCACTATGTGTCTGACCACTCAGGTATAGTCTTGTAAGCCTTAAGGGCCTCTCTCCTGAGCTGCATGGGTCCAAAATGAAATTCTTTTCACTAAGCCAAGAAAACAAACATTTTAGGAGAAAGATGACAGCTCACTGAGGAAAGAAATTTCATGCTTTGAATATGACATTTCATGCTTTGACTATGACTATGGGCTTGGGAACAACTTATTCATACAGCTATTTAGGGAAAACAATCATGAATCACCTAATCACCTTGGTTAGATCAGATGCTACTACTGTTGTTTACAAAAATCCATTCCATGCAATGTCTGACTAGTTCTAACCCAGGTTTTTTTCAGTGACCTTCTTGTGACCCTTAACTGCTATGTTGTGCTCTCTTCATTTTCCTTACTCTCCATTTTTTTTAGCTTAAACATCCTTTCAAATTACAATTACAATAGACTAAATATTCTGAGTCAGTTATTCAGAGCAATCACTTTAATGCCTGGTCCCCCCACCCCATAATAGGCCCTGTCTTTTCACATTGCTCTCATCTCCATTAAACAGCATAAACTTTCACTCCACTTTAATTATGCATTTTAACTTCAAACATATGATCAAAATTAAGACATTTATCCACAATTATTTGATTACAAGGCTACTTATAACTGACAAAAAATTCCATTACAAACACTTAGTTTGACATGCATTTCTAGAAACAGATCTAGGATATAATCTACCAGCTAACAGGTTGTGACTCTCTAGGGTAGTGTAACATGACTAAATAGAAGTGGCTTGAAATCTTACAGATATATTAATCTAGATTTGATGTGCTTCAGACTCTATTTGCAAAATTAAAAATAAATACTCTATCTTGATGTATATATTTTCTTTCCATGTCCATAAAATGAAGAGCTTTTCCTGATCACCAGTTTTCCACACAACATGCAGGTCATTCTTGTAACACTGGCCCTGGGAAAAGAAAACACTTGACTTATAAAACTACCAACCATAAAAACTTCTTTAAAATTTATTTTTAAAAATGCTGTAGTCCTTATAATGGTCTATCTCAGAAGCCAGATCCGTATTAAGTTTTTTCAACAGAAATTCAGGTTCGGGATAGGATCATCACAGATAAGACCAAGGACACAATATTAGCTGTTAAGCAAAATATATCCACTCACAGAAATGGTTGCAGCTCAAAAACAGTGCAGCCAACTGGCCCCTTTCAACCGGCAGACAGCGACCCCTCACTGTTGGCAGAGAAAAAAACACTATTGTGAGACAGCAGTTTTCCCCCTGCAGGCAACAAAAATTTCATTTTTGCACATTGGTCTCATCTCAGAAGCCGAATCCGTATATGCTTTTCTTCAGGTAATCAGCTTCGGGATAAGTTTCATCATTGATTAGACCATATACTAAATAAAGCAGCATTAAAAGGTTAAGTACTGCATTATAAATACTACAGCGTGTTTTGTAAGCCACACAACTTACTTCAAAATGAAGCTGACACGGATAGCTTCATTAGTATTCCTCAATCCTCAGGATGCTGTTCAAGGAAAAAAAAATTTCCATTTAACCTACATATTGACTAAACATATGGTGAAATCAAAATACTACTAGCCCAGCACATACCTGGTAAGAATATTTTAGCCAGGTAATTTTCCAGCAAATATTCTCCCATGTTTTGGATTTTTCTTTTGCATCTAATAAAAAGAAGCAAATTTCAAAAGATTCACCATTTTTTATTCCTTGAAATCAACAGGTTTATTTCTTCAGTTTAAAAACTAAACATTAAACTCTCAACGGCACTTACCTTAGTGTCTTCACACGTAACAGCCCCGTTACACCGAGCGCCATTGTTCCTGCGGAGCATGAATAAATTTAAAACTAAGCATTCTGATGTAATAGGAATAGAGTTAAAGGTTTTCAGAACTAAAAAAAAAACCCTCTTCCCTTCCATTAATCCATTTGCACACAGCGCCACCTGGCCACAATACAACTATTAGTTTCGTCAAAATCAAGGGCTGTCCATTTTGAAATAACCGTTTCATCTGAAGACAAAAGACACTTGCCTTAATAAAGGCCTCTTGCTTTTAGCGTCAAACTAACGCCTCGCCCCAAATCCCGGGACTGTGATTTTCCTGCCGTTGCTCAAGCTCTGCCAGCCAAGTACCCGGGTTTATTAACCAGGCTACGCACAGGGCCGTGGCGATCAGCAGCAGCCTCCTCAAGCCGAAACTCGAAGTCTGCCGCCACCACTCAGGGACACGTGGCGGTCCGCTTGCGTTTTTCCAACAAGCCAGTACTCACTATACAACAGTCTAAGCTCACTCAAATTCATAAACTCCTTCAGTTTTGCAGCCTCAAATTTAAGCCCGCGCAACCAGTGGTAGCTCGGATTCGGATTCCTAATGGCAACCCCTACTCACCAAGTACAACAGAACAGATCCCAAGTCCCGACGCAAAAGAGTGTGCTGCGAGGCCAGCAGTTCCCTATATAGCCTCTCCGGAGTCAGATCGAGACCGCCCCTCCCTCTCACATTTATTGGACGCCAGAGAAGATGGGGGCGTGACTGTTTCCTGAACAGCAGAGCCGGAGCGAGAGCGCGCGCGGCCGTTCTTTTCTTTCGGGGGCTCGTTCTGGGGCCGGGTGCACGCGCTGCCCGCCCTTCGCGCGCCCGTCTGCTCCCCAGCGCGCGCCCCCTGGCGCGCTGCCTTTAGTCCCCTCTGAGTCTGGCTCTACGTGGCGCGGGAGTGGCGCCAGAATTCAAACGAACGAACAGGCACAGTCGGAGGCGAGGCTGCTGCTTGCGACGAGCCAAGTCCGTCCAGGACCGATTGGATGGCTCTGGATCTGTAGAGGACTTGAGTTTTGCAGCAGAGTTTTGCAGCCTCCGTTTATGACCCATACGAGAAGTTGGGTTGGCTGGGGTCTGGAGTGAATTGACGCCCAGCGGCTGCTGTACGCCTGTAAAGAGAAATTGGCGGGTAGAAATGCTCGGGTTGAAGAAAGTGAGAGCGCTGCATTTCTCCTTCAGTCCCCAAAAAGACAATACCGCGCCTAGTGGCTGCGGACAGCCTGCCCACCGCGGGGAACGCTGTCCAGGACCAGGCCCCGGGCCCAACAAACCACCAGGCTCCTTGTGACAGACGCTGCCGGTACTATATTCAGCACGTAGAAGTCTCCCTGAGAGGTGAATATTCCATATGGCCTAGAGAATTGTGTCCTGAAGCAGCTAAGTAATTTGCCCACATGCCCATAACTGAAAAGCTCTGCCATTTTTAAATTTATTTGTATTAAGTTCGTTAATGATGAATGCAGGAGAAAGATTAGTTTGAGAACTATCACAGAATATCTTATCCAAACAACACTCAACAAATTCTGTAGCAACGAGGCTATTCATTAGTATGTGCAAGTAAATATATGTATATGCACGCACAAGCACACATGATACTTGATCATGTCAGCATTTGAAAATGCAAGTCTTCATAGCGCTTATTAGTGATTCTATTTAAGTGTTGGTTTTGTCTAAGGAACGCATGGTTTTATGCACCGTTCTTTATTTTTCTTCTTAGAACAGTGTTTGGCAAAATGGTCGAATGAATGAATCAGTGAATGAATGACTTTGATGGCTTTTTAGAAAATTCCAATGAATGAAAGGTAATAGCGTAAAGCAAATTTCTGTAACAGGAAGTAAAGTGACCTGGAATTTTCTTGCCTTGGCATTAGGTAGGGTTTTGGATACTACAAGGTATCCAAAACACCTTGTTTTGGTATACAATGTTTTGTAATGTACAAGGTAAATTTACATATTGCTCAAAATAACTAAATACAGATGGATATAAAAAGGAAAGTAAAATTTTTCTTATCACTGGAATCTTCTCTCCACATTCACAGTAACCACTATTAACAGTTTTTGAAATTTTCTGTGCATATACAGATGCTCCTTTGTTTATGATGGGATTACATCCCAATAAACCCATCAGTAAATTGAAAATATCTTAAATAGAAAATGCATTTAATACACATAACTTACCGAACATCATAGCTTAGCTCTGCCTACCTTAAATGTGCTCAGAACACTTACATTAGCTTCCAGTTGGGTAAAATTATCTAATACAATTAATACAATGTAGACTGAATGTTGGTTGTTTACCTTATGATAATGTGCCTGACTGGGAGCCATAGCTTTCTGCCCCTGGCCAGCATCAGGAGAGAGTGTTCTTCTACTACATATTGCTAGCCAGGGAATAGATCAAAATTCACATTTGAAGCTACAGTTTCCACTGAATTATTATCACTTTTGCACCATCGTAAAGTCAAAAAGTCAAAAATATAATTTGCAATCTGTACAAATATATGTTCATATTTTTCACATGTAAATAGGATCTATACTCATTTCTGCAACTTGCTTTGTTCCTTCATAAATATCATGGATATCTTTCCATATCAGTGCATATAGATGATTATTCTTGTTTATAGCCTGCACAGCTCTCAATTAGATGTATCATAATTTATTGCATCATTTTACAACTTTCTACTGTCAGAGTGCCAAACTGAATTATAGACACATCATAGTGAGCTTGTGAGAAGATCTGCAAGATCAATTTCTAGAAGTGAGTCAAAGGTTATGTGTGCTTAAATTGTAGTAGATTTTGCTTAATTGTTCCACCACCTTCTAACACCAAATGATTGTATTGTGATTATATTTGGAAGTGTGTTTTGCTCAATGAAAAACCTATGACTATTATGGGATGGCAATTATTACACAATTGAAGTGAAGAACAATTGCCCTCTGTTATCTGTTTGAATCCTGTTTGCTGTGCGGAACACTATCAAAATCATCTGGTCAAAGTAATATAAAACAATGACTCCTTAGGTTGACTTAGCAATTGAATACTTGGAGAGCTAAAACTATCCTATTTCTGGGCCCTAACCTGGAACTACTAAAGTAAAATCTCAAAAAATGGGAAACTTTTAAAAAGAGATTTTATTTATTTATCTTTAGAGGGGAAGGAGAGAGGGAGAGAAACATCAATGTATGGTTGCCTTTTGTGCATCCCCTGCTGGGAACTGGCCTGCAGGGAACCAGCCTGCAACCCAGGCATGTGCCCTAACTGGGAATCGAAACGTGATCCTCTAGTTCGCAGGCCTGTGCTCAATCCACTGAGCTATACCAGCCAGGTTGGGAAACATTTTAAACAAGCATCTAGACAATGCTCTTCAATAGGAACATAACATGAATCATAAATGCAAGTTGCTTATATATTTTTAAATATGCCAGGAGCCACATGTAAAAAAATTTAAAAAAAAGATGAAATTAATTCAAATACATTTTATTTAACCCAGTCTAACCATTTATTTTCACTTCAACATATGATCAATTATGTTGTTGAGATATTTTACATTCCTTTTTTGTACTTAGTCCTTAAATATGGTATGCATTTTACACTCAAAGTACATCTCACTTTAACTTTCAAGTGATCCATTGCCACATGGACAGTGGCTATTGTATTGGACAGTATATGTCTATGGTGATTCATATACATATAGAAGTTTGAGAACCACTGTGTTAGGGTAAGTGCAGTAGTGCACACCTGACACATATTTAAGTTTTTTTAAAGATTTTATTTATTTGTCTTTAGAGGGGAAGGAGGGAAGGGGAGAGGGAGAGAAACATCAATGTACGGTTGCCTTTCACGCGTCCCCTGCTGAGAACTGGCCTGCAGGGAACCGGCCTGCAACCCAAGCATGTGCCCTGACTGTGAATCGAACCGCGATGGTGTGGTTCGCAGGCCCGAGCTCAATCCACTGAGCTACACCAGCCAGGGCTATTTAAGTCTTTTTAAACAAACATTTCATATTACTTTTAACTCATAAAATAACAAATCTGGAGCCTGCTTATTAAGAGCATGCCCTCTGTGAACATGGGTGGCGACTGTAATGCCAGTACACAACTCACTCAAGATATTTATCTCTTCGTACCACTTCACACCAGTCAGAATGGCCATCATAAACAAATCAAGAAACAGCAAGTGCTAAAGAGGTTGTGGAAAAAAGGGAACCCTAGCACACTATTGGTGGGAATGCAGATTGGTGCAGCCACAGTGGAAAATAATATGGACTTTCCTAAAAAAACTAAAAGTGGACTCAGCAATTCCACTGCTGGGATTATACCATAAGAATCTTGAAACACCAATTAAAATGAACCTATGCAACCCTACGTTCATAGCAGCACAATTTACAATAGCTAAGTGCTGGAAACAGCCTAAGTGCGTATCAGTAAATGAGTAGATCAAAAAACTGTGGTATATTTACACAGTGGAATACTACACAGCAGAAAGAAAGAAGGAGCTCCTACCCTTTGCGACAGCTTGGATGGAACTAGAGAGCATTATGCTAAGTAAAATAAGCCATGTGGTGAAAGACAAATACCATATGATCTCACCCATAGGTGGAACCTAATCAACAAAACAAGCAAGCAAAATATAACCAGGGACATAGAAATAAAGAACAAACTGACAGTGAGTGACCAGAGGGGAGAGAGGAGGGAGGTAATAGGGGAAAGTAGGGGAAGGGTCAAGTCCAGGATCATGTATAAAGGACCCATGGACAGGGACAATGAGGTGGGGGGAGCGAGACTGAATGTGGGGGAGGCAGGACAGAGGAGAGTAATGGGGGAATAAGAGGAACAACTATAATTGAACAACAATAAAAAATTTTCAAAAGATGTTTATCTCTTCAAGGAATAGAAAAACATTCTGGGGGATAAAGCCAGTAGTCATTGCTTCCACACCTAAAACAGTCAAGCAAATTGCTACCAAATATCTGAAGTGATTTAAAAATGATCATGTAGAAGTCAGAACTGAAATTAAGTGTTCTTGAGGAATTTAGCATATTGAAAATAAATTCTCATATTTTGTAACACACTTCCAGATAAGAACATCATTTAGTTATTTTTTGGAAGAAATGTTCACTGAGCTCTTGATGCATGCAATGTACTTCAGTAAAAGATAGTATGAATACACAAAGTCCTTGACCTTCTGAAAGAGTTTATAGTTTAGTAAGAAGTATCCACCAAACTTTAGATACTTTTGGTTTAAAATTAGACAGTCATTAAAGACTTTTTGGTAAGATCATACTGTGAACCAAATAATGTTTTGGGAAGTGTTTGGGGGAGAAAGATTAAAAGCAGAGCTTAGAAATGAGTGCAGTCATTTAAATAAGATAATGTGAGGGACAGCACTATAATTTTGGCCGTGGAAGTAGAAGGTGGGGAAGAGAACAATATACAGTGAGAACTTATATGCTGTTAGGTTCTTGTATGCATTGGGTCATTCAAAACAATTCTGGTACGTATTTTTAACCTTATATTACATATGAGGAAAGTGGGGCATAAGGGTCTCAGTTAACTAACATTCCCAAGTTTTTTGATGCCAAACTCATAATCCTGGCATCAGGACATGACATTGCTGTGTTAAAGGAAGAAATAGTAGTAGATGA